TTTGCCTACTAACGAAAAGCATTTATAATGTATCCCTGGAAAATATTCCAAAATGGAGAGTACCATTAGAGTTGAAAACCTGGGCCACTGAAAAATCAGTATCTGTTGGGAAAGAAGGCGGCAAAACTACTTTAGGAGAAATGGAAAAGAAATTTCCAGGTTTCCATCTAAGAAAATGGTTGAATATAGCTTCAAGAGAATTGATAGGAAATGTTTTTCACCTCTTTAATATGAAACACACCTGGGATATACTTATTAATGTGTATGTTCACAATATGGAAAAAATTAAATAGGTAACATAGGAAAAAAAACCCATGTCTTCTTCCATTCATTTTCTACATCAAGCTACATATTATTGATGGTGATATCAACAAAGCAGGGAGGGTATTTATTATAAGATTCAGAGAAGCAGTAGTATCCAAAACTAGATTTGTTTTAATATTTAATGGAGTTACATTCTCTCCTCTCATATTCAGGCCCATGAGACAAAAGCAAAATTGACAAGACAGGAGATGTGCTTATGCATTTTGAAGTATTTGTGCAAAAGACCATCAGCCGAGCAAAGTTCCCAGATGAGTCTATGAGGAAAGGACTGACTTTATCACCGCCCAGCTGTCAGCATAGCTGTGGTTCTGTCACATGCATGGGACCCTGGGCTTAATCTCCTGGACCCAACAACAATAGGAAAAAATGCCAACAAAAATATTACTGTATAAGCAATCATTCAGCCATTAATTAGAATAATTACATAGATTGTATGTTTATGGGCTAATGAACAAATATCTGAATTTCAGTGTCCTGAAAGATATTGAGTTAAGCAAATGAGACATGACTTCTACTTTTTATAAGGGACAATTATTTGTAAATAAACTATGGCAGGGTATTTTATATAGGTTACATCAAATATATGAGGTGGATATTTAAAAAAATAATTTCTTTACTGTGTGAGGAAGCTGTTCAAGAGTTCACATGCGTGACTCGGTCACATTAGCAGTCAGTGGCAGAGCTGTGCCACTCCAGGGGGTCTCTCGAGTCAGCTGATTATGGTGCCTACAATCTAGCAGGACAGAGAAGCATGGGCGATTGCCCTCTGGGAGGCCACCTCGGACTGCATGGGAGCATGGGAAGGCGCTGGTCACTCAGTTTCTAGGTAGCCTCTGGGAAAGCTTTCTCAGGCTGTCCTGGGAGCCAGGCCTTGAAGGCAGATGTGGAAGGGATTTTAGTGACAAGAAGTGTATACAGGCTGAAGAAACAATTTTCAAACTCAGTGTTTTTGGAATGTTTCTTCATTTCTAAATTTCTTAATTTTGACCTTCAGTGGGATTTGTTGTTCTTGTTGTTGTTGTTGTTGTTTTTGAGACAGGGTTTCACTATGTAGCTGAAATTTGCTATGTAGACAAGGCTGGCTTTGAATTTCCATTAATCTGTCTGCCTCTGCTTCCCAAGTTCAAGAATTAAGGGCACGTACCACCACACCTGGTGTTTTTGTTTTTTTGCATCTTTGCTTTTTGAGTTAGGATTGTCTATATAGCCCAGAATTATTGACCATAACTCATGAGTTTCCTTTCTCCACCTCCTGCTGTGACCCACACAGATGACTCCTGGAAACAAAACTGGGGTTACAAGGGAATGAAGAAAGGATAGACACACAGACACACATACAGAAATGCTGGGATAAGATGGGTTGTGCACTCTAGTGGAGATGCAACAGTCAGGAAATTCAGCCTGCTTATTTTATACAGCTGAATGAGGAGGCAGGGTTATCCTGAACAAGGAGCAAGGTTTAGTTAACCTTGTGTAGGAGAAGTCTCAGGCTGTAAACACCCAGGAGGAGGAATCCATGAGTCACATTTTATGTTTTTTTTTTTGTTTTTTGTTTTTGTTTTTGTTTTTTTCAAGACAGGGTTTCTCTGTGGCTTTGGAGCCTGTCCTGGAACTAGCTCTGTAGACCAGGCTGGTCTCGAACTCACAGAGATCCGCCTGCCTCTGCCTCCCGAGTGCTGGGATTAAAGGCGCGCACCACCATCGCCCGGCTGAGTCACATTTTATGAACACCATGTAAACAAGGACTAGGGGAAGGCTTTGCCATTCCCATGGGTCTGAGGCATTGAGGTCTTTGACATGTCTGCACCCATATCAAACAAATCACTGGGGACTTCATCTGCTCCCCATAACCTCCTACATGGTGAGATTAGAAGGGTATGCTACTAGGCCCAGTTTGATATGTCCTTGTGCTATCATACATATATCATAAGAATACATCATAGTCATTGACTACATCTAACATAGTACATGTACCAAGCTGACTCTCAATAAGTATGTGTTGAACTGAATAGTTCATTGAAAGAAGGACGCAAGCCATGGAAGCCTGTTCTAAAATTTGTTATATGTGGTTTATAATATTACAATCCCCTGTAATTCACATCATTCTTACTTTTTGACAAAAGCTCATAAAATTGACTATTAAATTTGCCTTTAACCTTTATTTCTAATCCATTCCTAAAATGAAGTACAATGAAAATTAAATCGCAAAAGTACCAAAGCAGTTGAACTTGCCTTGGAAATCACTATGTAGCCAAGGCCGGCCTCAAATTCATGAGGCTCCTTTTGCCTTCGTTTTCTAACGGTTGGGATTATAGGGATGAGTCACCATTACTGGCTCAAAGGTGTGTGTGTGTGTGTGTGTGTGTGTGTGTGTGTGTGTGTGTGAGAGAGAGAGAGAGAGAGAGAGAGAGAGAGATATGCATGAACTGAATTAAATATATGGCTTCATACATGTTAGGCTAGGCAAGTACTGTAGCACTGAGTTATACTCCCAGCTCTAATGAAAATTAGGCTTTAAAAATCCCCACAAAGGGGTCAGAGAGATGGCACAGTGAGTAATGTCTGATGACCTATGTCTGATCTCTGGGACCTACATGGTAGAAGGAACCACTCACACAAGTTGTCCTCTAATCTACACACATACATTGCACACACACACAAATAATAAATAAATGTGATTTTAAAAATGAAAAGATAATCCCTGTGAAGGGTGAAGGGAGAGCTCAGTGGGTAAAGGCAGTAGCCTCTTAAGCCTGAAAACGCTGGAGCCCATGTAAAAAGCCGGATGTGGTGGTGCATATCTTCAATCACAGCAAGACATCAGGCAGAGACAGAATCATCTGGAAACAGAGAAGCCAGCTGGCCTGAACAGTCTGCAGCAGAAACGAGAGACCTTCAGCAAGGTGGAAAGTGAGAACTGACTCCCGAGAATTGTCCCGTGCCCTTGGCATGCATGCAGTGGACTGTGTGCCCACCTGCACTTTCTCAATACAATATTCTTTATAAAAACCCTATAAAATTATATTATAAATATATATAATATATACAAATATATATATAATATATAATATTCTTTTCTGTTCTTTGAGATAGGGTCTGGTACTTAATATTCTAAAAGAGAAGGAAATGCTAATTATTTTAATCACTTAATTTGTTTGAAATAATCACCAGTAGTCTTCAAAGTGAATTGTTGTGACCAGAAAAGTTAAGAGAAATTGATCTGTAATTTATGTGGAATTCTCAGTATGTCCTTTAGAGCTTGCCAATATGTTCAACGATTAAACAGATTAGGCCCAAACAGGTAGGTATTCTATCTTTACTTTGATACTGAAATAGAGTTCATCCATGGGTCAAACTAAGTGTTGCTATTATTCATGGTATTAGCTGCGGAGTTAAAAGCTCTAGTTGCATCATGTGGCTGCCAAAAAGAGGCTTCAGGGCACCAATGTGTTTACTATCGGGTCTCAGTGAAAACAGGCCCAGATGACAGACTTATGGTCTGGTTCCCTTGGTGTTGACCTATTAAGGCAACAATTTTCCCATTTTAAAACTATTTTTGTTCTTAGACCATTGTGTATGGTTTGAAGCTTTTTTTTTTTTTGAAAAGTAATTCTGTTTATTTCTGTTTCTGATGCTCTTGTGAGCTTTGGCAGAAACTGAGAATAGCCAAAGTTTAATAGAATGCATTTTTTTTTTTTTACTTTTTGTAGCAATAGGGATCAAACCCAGGGCCTTCTACATGCTAGGTGGATATTCTCAGCCCTCTTTTTAACTTTTATTAAAATTATAAAACAGTCTCATCAAGTTTCCCAAGCAGACCTTGAACTAACTCTATAGTCTCACTTAGCCTTGAATGTTTTTTGATATTTGTGAACTAAGTATCCTTCCTATATGCTTATTAAATTTATATCTTTGTGTGTGTTGTGAGGGATATATATGCACTGTTTGTGCTGATACATGTTCTTCTTTGCATGTTAAAGAGGATATGGGTATCTTGCTGTACTACTCTCTGCCCTTTTCGCTTGAAACAGGGTCTTTCATTGAGCCAGGAATGAGAAAGAACTAGCCATTTTCCTGTCTCCATCTCCCACAGCACTGGAGTTACAATGGCATGCAGCCATATCTGGCTTTTTACAGGAGTTCTGGAGGTTGTTTTAATGCAGGCCCCATGCTTGCATAGCACCCTTAATCAATGATCCATTTCCTTAACTCCCAGCTCTGAACTTTTGATTCTCTTGCCGCTGCTCCTCTATTAGCTGGGAGTAGAGGTTTGCACTAGTAGGCCTGTCTTCTAAAAGACGCGCATGCGCACATGCGTGCCCACAGAGATAAGACAAGGGCATCAGATCCTCTGGGGCTGGAGTTACAGGCAGCAACGAGCCATTTGCCATGGGCACTGGGAACCAAACTTGAGTTCTTTGAGAGATCAAGTGCTCTTAAAAACTGAACCGTCTCTCCAGCCCCAAGGATTTCTAAAATTTTAATCAAAATTCTAACAGAAAAGCTTTTCAAGACCAAGATAGCAAAAAAAAAAAAAAAACCAACAAAAAAACCCCACACACATTTTATTTGCATGTATTTAAAAGTAAAATATCCTTAGCACCATAAACAAACAATATTTATCAGAATTATTTAGAAGAGTAATGAAAAGCAGAAGAAATGAAGCATTGGCCCACCTTTTGGAGATACTTTGCTTTCTCTTCAGCTTCCTGAATCTTTTGGGCTTTAGCGAAGACATTTGCCTCCTCTAGAGTAAATAAAGTCAAATTTAATCTGAAATAGCTCTGTCATGATTTTTATAGTATTGGCATTAATTTGGATATGGGTTAATAGAGCAGGAGGGAACACAGTATATACTGTCTTGAAACTTTATAACCAGATTCATAAATAGCTGGAGACTGAATTAATTATCTATGCTATGAGGAAACCTTTAATCCCTTTAGGAGATGAGTAAGCTTGTGTGGCAGCAACAACAGTCTCTAAAGAGAAAGTGCCTGCGGGCTCAGAGATGATATCTGCATTTCTAGTCAGGCTTTATAGAAAGTTATCTTCTGGGTGAGTGGTGTGGGCCCTGAGGCAAGGTGTGACACTTAATCAGACTACAATGTAAATGTTTACACGTCTAAAAATCCTCCTAGCAGTCTGGGCAGCCCACCCACTGAAGGGTGTTAAAACCCGGTACTTACTGTTATGATCAAAGGGGAAGGTTCGGACTGGAGTTTTCTCTAAGAAATACAAATGGAAAGTAAGTTATTGGAGAAGCAGACATTAAAAGTGTTTGAATTTTCTGTACTTATTAACATTGAATAAGAACACTTTATACATCTTTGGTCAAAGGCTTGTCAGTCAGGGAATGTGGTTCCTAAATTTGATTCAGCCTCCAACTTTTTCTCAGGCTTTCAAATTTGAATTCATTTTTTTTGTAAACGCTTTCCTAACCTTTTTAGTCAACACACATCATTTTCTTAGATTAACCCATCCTCTTTGCCAAATAGAAGCCCTCATTTAAGGAACTCTTAGGACGTATTTTTATAAGTAACGATGACCCTATCTTTGCGGTGGAGAATTGCAGCAGTTTCAAGAACTATTTGTGTATGTATTTGCATGTAGCTATTACCGCTTGTTTATACCTAGCAAGACGGTTGATTTTCTTACAGTTAGGCTGGGCAGTTTCTTCTTCGAGGAGGCAGCCCCATTACTCACCGCTCACTTGGACTTTAGAATTCTTCGCCACTGGTAGCCGCTGGCTGCTGTCCCTGGTCAACACCAGCTGAGATTCAGTGGGGGGATACATGGACGCCCCGAGCCAAAACTGCTTAGCCAAGCTGGCATCCTGCTCAGAGCAGCCGGTGAACACCAGTAATCCAGGGGAGCAGATTTCCTGGGATTCCTTTCCGGAGCTAGGACTGTTTCTGTGACCCGTTTCCATGGTGACTCAGGACGCTTCGCCCTGCCCCCACCGGAGAACCGTCCCTTTGGTAACTGTCACAAGGAAAGTTTAGTTATCTGGGGTTCCTCAAGCGCTTGTGGCCTTGGCTATTGTCGCGGTCACAGCCTTCGGGGCCAGTCAAGCCTCGGAGTCAAAGCCTCAACTGTGTGATGTGTACAGCCCTGGAGTCAGTGGAGAGCAGTTAAGTCTTAGTTCCTAAGTCAGTGTCCCTTCCCCGAAATGGCAGAATAAAGTGAACTTAAAAAGCTCTTTTAGACAAGATTGCCAAGGCTCAGCACCCCAACCCGCGAAGTTCTCAGGTCTGCATTGATACGTCAAGGCGGCATAATGTCCTAGACCACAATTGGGCTGAGAGGTACCTATGGATACGGTTTTTGTGCTTTAAAAAAAACTTCATCTTTTATTGCAAATCTTAGGAAACAAGCTGGATTTAGATTGTGTTCACTAATTATTCACACCAGACGTTACCTACAGTGCAACCGTTATCATAAAAAAAAATACCCAGCAAGTGGGTTGAGCCCCCCCACCCACCGTGAAAAATTATGAAAACATTTTTAATGTATCCTTAAAAGCAGGTTTACAATCATGTGTGAGCGTTTTCTTCCTGGAGATTTTGTGTATATAAAAATCGATCATTTAATTACTTCAGGGAGCAGAGATGGACAACCTAAAGTCAGTTTTGGAAAGGAAATGGACACATGATAATGTTGATAGCTGACATTTTTCGTGGCACTTTATTTTTCTGTGTTAATAATACAGTGTCGGGAAAAGTCCAGAGATTTATAATCACAAGTCAATATAATGACCAGATCAGCTAAGGAATGATTTCTATTTTCCAATATATCTAAAAATCACTGAAACGTACTCCTCCCCCCCCCCAAAAAAATCTTGCACACATTGCATACTTACCTCCCCACACACGTATTGCACACACTGAATACTTAGCAGCTAAGTGCTAGCTTTTCTTTCGCCTAAACCACTTAGTAGGTAATAGATGAGCGTTTCCCTATGGCCCTGTCCTCACCAAATGGATGATGCACACGGGGCTCAGTCGGAGGAATCTCAGTCTTTTTACCTGGCCGTGTGGTTAGTGATTGGTACTATTAGCAATCAGCTAACTACACTGCCTAGTAACTAGACTCATAGACAAAGCCTGCAGTCTTAGTTGGTGCTCTCAAAGGTTGGCTGAGACCAGCACATCGTCAGTCAGGCTGTGGTTGACTCTAGTCGCTGCCTTGGTGACAGCTTTCTCAGAAGTGGAAAACAGGCAGTTAATCACAGGAACTGTTCTGGGGGGCTCCTCCGGGCACATTTTTTTTTAAAATGTTAAGGCTGGTGCACACCTATTATCTTTGCATGTCAACTGAACGTTTTGCTTTGGCTCCTAGACACAGGTAGTCCCTAAAGGAAGCCGCCGCTCTCCGAGGGTTACTTGCACTTAGACCTCGTGCTCCGGCCCCTTCGCTGACGCATCCCGGCTCCAGCCTCCGCTTTCTGCCGAGTCAGCGGGGCTGCGGCCGCCTGCTTCTCCTCCAGCGGGCAGCGGGTGATGCTGTGCCTTGTTTTGATGGCAGTGGAGTTAGTGATTGTCAGCACCGCGGTACAATCAGCTAATTACACTGCCTACAAACCGAGCACCGGGCGTCCGCTGCTGCAGTTCCCGAGGGTCCGGCCCCTTACCCCCTTTTCGCCAGGGCCGACGGTGGCGGAGCGTGAGCTGTTCTCAGGCTCCCGGCCCCTCCATACCCCGCAGGGCCGCGCGCGACCCCAGGTGACCCCAGGTCCCCGGGGGGCCCCCGTCCCCGCCGTCCCCCCCACCCCCCAAGACCCTTCCGCTCCGCCCTGGTCCCCTGGGCATCAGGACAGACTCCTGCTTCCCTCCCGCCGGGTCTGACCCGCCTCCGTCAACTTCTCCTCGGCTTCCAGCCCCAACTCTACAGCAGGATCTGTCCACCCCGCGCGCCCGGCAGCTCCTACTGGCCGAGTGGCCGTGGCTCTGCGACCAACCGCCCTTGGAACCCCGAGGCCGAGGGGGCGGGGCGAGTGGGGGAGGGGAGGCAGAAGCCACCAGAAGGGGCATTGGGCGGGCTCCTGAAGAGCCTCCTGGGAAGGGACCTGGGAGATGGAGACACAGATTCTTGAGAAGTTTATCTTCATGGTGTAGTAGGAAGGGCAAAGACCTACATTCATCTCTCCTACCCTGTTGCCCAAGAAGCTTCCAAGCCCACTCAGTGTTCATGCCCATTTGCAGAAACTGCTTCTCAGGCACCTCAGCTGGAGGCTTGCGCTATCCCGCAGGAGCAGGACTGCCCTTGCCAATACCTGAGTTCTTTCTAAGGATTATTTTTTTCACAGGGCCACGCAGTGAGATGAGGGCCGCTCTTCTAGTCAAACATTGAACCAACCCCCTTGTGGTCAAAGTGTGACCCTTTTAAGATCAAAGTCACCATTTTTGTGATCTCATGGTAAGCCTCGAGGAAACCATTCCTACTTCGGGCTACTGTTTTATTTAAATGTCTGTTACATAGCCACCACCGAAAGGACATTGGTTCTACTATCCATCAGACACTCTAGGTGGTAACACAAAGTAGGCACACGTTCTTTGCGGTCCCAAGCAGTATAAAGTCACTAAACTGATAGACTTTACTCGTAGAAAAAGGCGCGCGGGGGTGGGGGTGGAGGGTGTCCACAAGAACTGACAGGCACCGGTCTTGAAGGAGGTGATTGAAGCAAGGGTGGATTTGATCAACAACAATAGGTCTGCGGAAGCCCGAGTCTTGTGACAGTTAAATTTTCCTTGCTCTTCCTATCTCATATCCGATATCGGGTGTGTTTGTGTGTATTTGGAATAGGAGGCGCTGAGGGGGCAGGGACAGCATTTCTGGGCTCTCTTCACCAATATTTTTATCCTTTAAGTTAGTCGTTCCTTTCTTTTCATTTAATTGATGAGCCCAGAGAGGATATATAATATTCTCTGATTGCAAACGTTGTGGAATTCAGTGGGAAGTAGCCTCAACAGACTGTGGGCTTCGTGTCTTCATATACACAGTATAATAATACCCATTTGTATTGATCCGAAAAGGTCTTACAGTCTACAAAGGAAACTTAGCTGTCCACAGATCCCTAAGCCCAGCAGATGGTCGCATGGATGCAATTATTAACTTGAATACATGCTAATCATCAGGGACATTCAGAACAAATTCCAAACTCAAACCATTAAAACCCAGGAACGTCTCAAGAATAAGGTTATGTGTATTCTAACATTATCTTTGAAAATGAAATAATATTTTTTTCTCCAAAAGCATAGTTTGTTTTATGAACACTTAAGTGAAGTAGCAGATAATTGTAAAATTAACTTGCTAGAGACATCATTCCTAAATAACTATATTTTGTACTCATTCGTCCTGAATTTGAGAAGAGCGCAATGTTGTGCGCTACAAAATGTCATTTGAATGTTCACAAATAAATGAAACTAGTAGAAGCAGCCATCACTCCACTCGCAACAGAAAAGTTATAAATTTTGTGAGGATATCATTACAAAACTAGTTATTTTACATTTTGCTCCATTTTACTCTATCCTTACTGCTTCTACCTAGCTGACGTGTTTTTTCCTGATTATCAGTTGCATCTTAAATATCTTACCTGAGTTTGATTGCTGTCATCCAAAGCTATAGCTGCATTAGATGTCTTGAGATTTACACTGCAAAATTTTTTCTTCAAAGATGAAAAAAAAAGACAATAAAAATGTGTGTGCTCTAGTTCTGTTAGAAAAGCAACAGCAACAGAAAAGAATGTGTGTTCTTAGGGTTGCTGTTGATTTGGCCTGCAGTTACTAGAGAAACTCTGCTGACCTCACTGCATCTGCGGGTCATGTCTAGGCATGTCTGGACACCAGGGAGACTCAAGTTTTAATCCAAGTAAGAATGCTTGTGGTTAAAAGGCCCAAACAGGAGTTTGCATTTGGTTAGACCAAATCCAGGAAGGCACCTTGAGGAGGAATTGTTTACTGTTTTAATTTCTGGTCTTTTGGTGATCAAGGAGATGGGGAAGGACCTTGAGGAGATAGAGTGAGATTATTGACTGGAAGGAAACCAAGACGAGTATCAAAACAAGAACTTCCTACGTTAGTCTGGCAAATTTATATTGGCTTAACTTACTACTCCTGTATAGAGGGTTAGAGAGGGAGAGGTAGCTTCCCCTTCAGCATACACAAACACCTAAACATTTGCTATTGTTTGATTTTTAGACAGGGACTCAGTGAGCTCGGGCTGGCCTTGAACTCTTGATTTTCTTGAGACAACCTCCAGATTACCAGCTATTTCTGCAGCTTTTGAAGGTTATTGGGGGAAGAACTTAAGAATGACACTAATTAGAAAGTAATTGTCTTTAGCAGCTTCTTTTAAAACTTGTTTTTAAAATGCATAGTCTTTGCTAGGAAGTAGAACCATGTTTTGTTTTTCATGTAGACTAAGACTATCAAATGTCAGATGGCCATGTTAATATTCATGATGGTATACTTAGGGACTAGTTTATAAAGTTGAAGCCAGGCTGAGTTGAAGTCAATTTAACGTTTGAAAAACTACAAATCAATGAATCTGTTTAATTATGAGAGGAGATTTTCATCTGAGCTAACATGAACTGCTGGCAGTTCCATGATTCTGGTTCCATCTCATCGGACTCCCATTAGGAAGAGTGCAGTAGGTTCTTAATTAGGTTCTTGCTTATATTTATTGATTAATCAATAGCCTTGCTTTACATATCAAATGTTAATTTATCTTTTAGGCAGATCAGAAACAACCTAACAAACTAGCTTCCTAATTGAAGTTGCTGGAACTCTGGGGCTCAGCAGCAGGAACAATTCTTGTATAGTTCCCATCTCTAAGGAACACAGTCTCCAGAGATGTGCTCTAATTGGAGGGAGAGGTTGTTTACAGAGATAATTAAGAGAGTTAAATTATGTTAATCATATCAACACATCATAATATTAATATATAAATTAATATTACATTAATGTATAAAATGCCTAGATAATACATTTATATCACATAGAAGTACATTGAGTGTCAAAGTTGTTAGATTAATAAGTGCTTAAGGACTCTTGAATTCTAGTGTTATCTCTGTTATTGTCAACATATGGGGAAACATAAGGAAAAGCACTGAAATATGGGACAGAGAGAGGACTACATAGAAAAAACGGTGTTAACTCCAGTAGTAAGAGGTAGGCCTGAAAGCCTCTAGGGAGTTTGAATATCATTCTTCTGGATGGAAAGCTCCTGATGAATACAAGTGTGTTCTTTTATGGAGGCTAGAGCAGCATAGATTGCAGAGGAGATTTGATGTAGCCGATTTTTTAACAAGTCTAGAGATGGAGTGATTGAGGAAATACAGGATAAGTAAGAGATTTCATGAAGGGACTTTTACAGGGTTTGGTGGCTGATTCACAGTTTAGCAAGATCAGCAACTGACTTTCAGTGAGGAGCTTGAGGTGCTGAGGCAAACACATGGTCAGAGGACATTTATGATGAGTTTGGGTCTAAGCAAATCTGGATTGAGTAAAGTATTTAAATCTGGCAAGAGGTCAAAACTAAAAAGAGAGATTAGAAATTTTCTGACTATGAAAATTCAAGTTGAATGAAGTCTCCAAGGGTGCGTGATAACTTATTCTTGTTGCCATGGTTTTCATAGGAAGGATAAAGTAGGTGAGCAACAGTGGAATGCCTTTGTATGTGTGTGCTGGGATTGAACTCAGGTGCACACTAAATAAGGTGGGTGGTCTTCTCTAGACCGGATGTAGACAGATTCGCTTCTCTGGCTATAGACTGACTTCTGTCACTTGCGGTAGATTTCCTGGTTTGTAAAAGTAACTTTGGGGTTTCAGAACAGCTAACTGGTTGTCTAGGTGCATTGTTGCAGAGAGTTTATTTTCCTCCAGAGGTCTAACATGTATTCTTAACTCTGTAAAGCCAAAAGAGGGAACTACCTCATCAACTAATTTATTTACAAGAATGAAAATAATTTATGTCATTCCCAAAGTCATCACACTGTGTATACCAGTTCTGGTCTTCATTTGTACTGTCTTCATCTGCTGCTTAAGCCTCTTTGATTCCTCTATGGAACTTATATATAGTTTAGTAATTATATAGCTCACTTCTTTAGTTCCTCTAAACCCATAACATATATAGCAAGGATTTCGTTGTATTTACATTTAGCTAGGGTTATATTGTCTTCTTCCCTCTTAGCTCATCTATAGCCTGTTTAAAGTTTGAGCTCAAGCCCTACTTCCTGGGAAAATATTCCAGTGTGCCTTTAGTCACCTTTATTTTTCCTCTTCTCTCCTTTCTTTTGAACTCAATATATTCAGTCTATAGTTAGCATCTTCCATTAATAAAAGTATCAACCACCTATACTTTTTAATTTATTATTTGTTTCAGACAATATACAATGCTGTCACATGTACAGACACATTTGTTAAATTAGTATACATTGTGTAAAAACATTTTTCACACTCAGAATTATTTTTGCTGTACTGTCTTGGTTTTTAACTTAAAACTTGAAAATTATGTCTCAACAATTTTTGTAATTTTTTAAACTGCAGTTTGAACACAATAAGATTGAGTTTATATATAGGGTATAGAGTCCACTCATTGTTTTATGAAATGGTATACATATACTATTGCTAGAAGAAGCTTCCAATGATGGCAAATTTTTGCCAAAACAGCTATATCCCTCTACTTTTATTAATAGTGGCACGTGTTTGCAAATGAATAGATGGGCCTAGAATTATAACTTACAGTTTAAGGAATGAATGGTAAAGAAATTAAATAGGAGACAGGCATGGTTGTGCACACCTTTATCTCAGTACTTGGGAGGCAGAGGCAGGCGGATCTCTGTGAGTTCCAGGCCACCCTGATCCTCATAGTAAGTCATAAGCCATCTAGGACTATACAGTGAGACCCTGCTTCAAAAAAAGAAAGAGGGCTGATTATAATTCTGTTTATTATTTCATAAATCAAATTTAGTGTTCAGTGTAGATAAATGCCAGACGTGTTCGGATGCTCCAGGAGGCCAGAAGATGGCATCAGATCTTTTGGAGCTGGAGTTACAGGCGATTGCGAATTGCCCAATAGCCGGGGTGCTGGGAACTGACCTGGGTCCTCTGTGAGAGCAGCAGGGACTCTTAACTACTGAGCCGTCTCTTTTTATCTCAATTTTGTAATTGATTGATGCCTTTGGGACTTGACCATACCTTGATTTATCAATCAAGTCAAACTCCATATGTTTTCTTTTTTCTTAAAACAATATTTTTAAATTTTATTTTACATACCAATCCCAGTTCTGTCTTCCTCCTCTCTTCCTGCTCCCCCCAACTTTCCCCCACCCCATCTGATCTCCATGTTTTAAAATGGAGAAGTTGAGTTTTTGGACACTTCCTTGCTTAAGGCCATTTTCATTCTCTGTACCATTCTCACAGGCATACTAGACAGGAGAATGTATCTTTTTGCCTCCTTTTCTTTCTGATCTTCCTCATGGGATTCAAATGGAATGGAATGGAGCCTCCTTTTTCTCGTTTTCTTACACAGGTTTAGCCCCCTTACTCAAACCTCTACAGAAAGAACATCACCATTTTATTTATCTGATACTTTAAAAAAAAAGAATTTCTTAAAAGACAATGTCTTAGGTAAGAGAATAGATGTCTTATAATGGGAACTTTAGACATTACACATGATCGGTTGAGAGATTTTTATTTTGCCTTTTAAATTTTAGTCTTTTCTGGCTAAGTGAGGTTAAAACTGGGCATGGTGGTACATGCCTGTTGTCCCAGCGTGTAAGGTTAAAGACAGGAAGATTGCTGCAGTTCCAGGCCAGCCTGATCCACGTAGTAATCACTAAACCAATCAGGGCTGCATAACGAGACTATCTCAAAAGAAAACAAAGTCACAAAGCCCAACAAGGGAACAATAAATTAAGAGGTTTGCTTAGTCCATGTTGGATCTAAGTTTTTATATCCCTTCCTAATAAAATTATTTAAATGTACATTTATTTACTTGTATGTGTGGACACACGTATGCTATAGCACACACATGGAGGTCAGAGAACAACCTACGGTCGATGATTCTCTGCTTTCACCCGTGGGTCCTGGGGTCTGAACTCACCCTGTTGTTAGGCCTCTCATCTCCTCTCCGTAGACATTTGTACGGGGCATTTGGTTGTCACTGGGAATTCAGTTTTAAGCTTAAGGAATCAGTAATTTTGTTTTGCCCTGACCATCCCCCTGGACTACTTATTTCAATATTTTCTTGGCTGCTGAAAACTTGGAGCCATCTTGTGAGTATCCCGTCTTTAAAATACTGTATTCAAATAATAGCTTGTGCGTATGTTAATTTTCCTTCTCTGGATTATAAATCTCTTGAAAGGGAAGGCTGAGTTCTGTGTTTTGTTTGAATCACTCAGCACACAGCAAGGTCTCATGTTAGTGGGCTGTCAGAAGGAAGTCTGTGTCAGTAAAGCAGAAGGGACAGATGCCATTCGTGGGAAGGAGGCCACTGAGATCAGGTGACTGAAGTCCTACGCAAATGAAGGAAGTTTTATATGATGTTTAATCTCTGAATTTTCTTTCCTGAAATATAAGTACATTCTTATTATATGGTTCTATTAATGCTTTCCGAGGCCTGCTTGGGCCTGTTGCAGAAGGTAATGCTGGGGAAAGGTTCAACACCTTACCAGTGAATAAGCCTCGGCAACTCAGGGT